GTTTGATAGCAGTATAGGTAAAGCTCCTCTGGAAAGTAGCTGTCGAATGATGTGGCATCGTGAGTAAGCCCTTGTCCCTTACATTAATAGAATGTTTATGAGATCTAGGAAGTAATCTCCTTCGATTAATGTCATTTCCATTTCTCATCATTTTATAAACATACATGGATAGATAAAGTCGTCTACGATTTTCCATATTGAGCCATTCTAACTCTCTTAATTTTTGAGATACGTGGTCATACCGATGTAATCCGTAAATGAATCGTACGCTAAAATTCTGAACCATTTGAATCTTATATTTGAATTCATTATCAAGACAAAGACCAAACAAAAAATCACAATATGTAAACTGTGAGAGGACAAGGGTTTCACACAGAGTCTTGCGCAAATTTACATTGAAAATAAACCGGTTGCTGTAAAGAGTTTTCAGTGAAGTGAAAGGTTTTTTTTATTGAACTCAAGCTTTTCGCCGATTCAACGGCCATTAATGGTACATCATTGATTGCAACTGCCAAATTTGTATGTTAAAAAACGTATTGAGTTTTTGGTGAGAAAACTAATATTTTTGACTTGGACGAATTTAATTTCAAGTTATGAAATATGAGTTCAAGACCATCACTCAGCGAATTCTGTGCATCATTCAGGTTTTCATTAGGAAAACTAATTAATAACTGCGTATATAACTGGAGGCATATATGAATATTTTCTTAAACATTTTCTCAAAAGATATCCACAAACATAGCCCAAGCTGTTACCTTCGGGAGTGGCTAGAGTTCTATAATCATTTTGTTCGTTGTATATTCATTAAATTTCAAACAGTCATCGAAAAAATGGTTTCGGCTACATTTCAGCAGATGAGGAATATCAAAAAAGTAAAAAATATTTTTTTCTCATCCACAAAGGAATATGGCTGCTCTACAGTCACTTTGAGATCTTTTCTGACAAGTTTGTGAAAATTAGAACCTTAATCTGAAATGATACCCCTAACTCTTAATCCAATTTTTGATAATTGCCCAACAGCTTCAATCGCAATACTTTTTATATCCAGTATTGGTAAAAAAAGTATGCAACAGGCTGTTTCCAGTTCAAATGTATGCCTTTTGCCAGGACTACCAAGACACATTCTGCTATAGAAGCCGTTTTTTTGTTCAATAATTCCTCAAAACCAACTATTCTATCCGTTTCTATATTATAGAATAAGTGTGACTTGATGCTCATTTCATCGAAACAAATGGTATTGAATAGATTGAATCAGAATTCGGTGAGAAACAAAAAAGATCTAGTTTAGCAAACGTTTATTTAGTTTGGTTTTGAAGTTTTTTCTGAAATAACTTTTTTATATTATTAGGTAGGTTGTTTTTAATATGAACTCCAGTATAAAATACAGATTTCTTAGTTTTGGGTTGCCTAGTTTGTTGATTATGAAGTATGTCAATCGAATGATAGAATGTATGAATGGACATATTTGCTATTCATAGTAGATTATTTGTAACATATAAATGGAAAGTAGGCTCTAAAAAAGGTTTTGCAGAGATTTCAGTGAAAGTATTTTTTTTCTACAGGAAAAAAAAATCATCGTTTTGTTCTTCTAAAAAATGGATTTCATTTTTACCTTTTCAGAAAAATTGATGCAGATGAGTTTGATATAAATTCTTCACGTTGTATCATAAAGACTTTTTCTCTCAATTGGACTTCGAATGTCCTATGGAAATTTCGATTCTGGCTTCCTATCCCTACGATCAACCGACCATCATGAACGGTTTACTGCCTTTCTGTCACGCGTTATTTCTACAATTTTCAAGACGTATTTTGAAATACTAAGCCACTCTGTATATGCCTTTATATTTTTGTGAAATGCTTTGATTTGAGTTCCAAACGCGTGTCGAGAAATTATAAATGACAAATGACAGGCGGACAGTTCTTTATCTCCTGATGACGCCAACTTGGTTACCAAAACACCATAAATGACAAATGATAGTACACGCTTCAAATAAGCCACATTGTATACGTGTTTCTCATCAGAAAAAGGAATCGCACGTTGAAACGCTAGATCCCGTTACCACATATTTCTTTCTTTCTCAAACGACATCCTATATAAATTCTCCTATTCAGGTTCATACACATCCAACCTTCTTGGTGCAATCTCCCCCTTCTTCTCCTTCTGATGATACGATTAAGTGTCCTTCTGATATGTCGGATCGCACTTTGAAACATTAGACCCTTCTTGTCGTCATCGTTGTCATCTCATCACGATATAATTTTCGTTGAGCCGTATTCCTAACCTTTCATGCTGAATTTCAAAACCGGCAACGCTTCATGAACAACCATTTATTTTACAACCGACAACAGGGAAACTGTGCTGCTTGCGCTGGCTTGACTGATCGTCTCATCTTCGAAATGGATCAACTCGATACCATCTCCGTCTTACTCTCATATATCCAACCTTCCTCTCACTCTTACACACACACACCCCTCAAGGAAATGTGGAGGAGTGGGGGTGGATTGAAGTCCGGCAACTCCTACTATCATTATATTCTCTCATTTGAATTCATCAACAATTAGCTTTTCCGTCTGATTCTCATCATCACAATCATTATCTGCAGCCTGAACATCATTGAAAGTGACGATAAAGACAAGACAGTCAGAGAGAGATACAATTTCATCAACAAAGTCGTCATGAAATGCGCCCCAGCAGTTTTCTATCTAGAAATACGAGATCCCTACAAGAAGGACCTGGAGACGGGAGAACCTATTGTTACTTCTAACGGTTCTGGATTTGTTATCAGCGAAGATGGTTGGGCTTTGACTAACGCACATGTCGTCCTCAATAAGCCCCAATCGACGATAAGGGCGATCATGCGGGATGGAAGAAGCTTCAAGGTGCAGGTTAGTACCATAAAGACGAGAAATAGTGAGTATGATAACCGTTATGTGGAATAGCCTCAGTATATACTTCGGGAATATCAGTCAGGAATGGCTCGAAACTGCTAAAACTCAGCTGTAAACCCCATTATTCATGAAAGGTGTTAACAAGTCTCAAACGTTCGACCGCGGAACGCAATTCGTCCTGTGTCTTCTTTTACAACTTTTACTGTAAGGCAAGAAGTTATATTCAGAGCCCAAGAGTGTTGCATCAATCACACTCTACTAGAAAGTACTGTTCTGATTTGAAACAGTACTGACATCTCTTACAGTACCGTCTGTGACATCTCTTACAGAGACGCAATCTATGGAATTGTCAGAAGACACAAATATCCAAAATAACTGGTGGAAGGTTTGGTTATGACGTGAGAACTGATGTTGACAGATTAGTTCTTTCTAATCTCTCACTAATGGATGGATGTTCGAATACATACAACAGCTTATTTCTAACTCTGTTGTCACTGTTGATGATTTGTAACTAGTAGTCACCTGAGAGGCATGCCGTTAACATTATTATTGATATTCCATTGGAGGATACTCATTAACTTTCAATCTAAGAAGAAATAGTACCACATTAACTTGTAAGTGACTGAAAATTTCACTCATATTCAGAATGTTGGTAGTTTGTGAAAAACACACGTCTTACCTCAAACGTTTCAGAATCCAACACAACCACGATACATGCCAATCCAGTTCTTTTTATCAATTTTACCAAACTCTCAATAACTTCTTCTTCGTCGAGTATGATCCTATGTTCCAGTCAGCTCAGGACAAATTCCAGGTTATTGACATTCTTTCAACTGGAAAGTGAGTATGACAACGATTCTCACAGGGTCGAGCTTTGAAATAAATCAAAATTTGAGAAATCGTTTTCATCTTCATGCAGCTATCATTGCAAGAGGTAATTAGATGATATCTGCGAAATCATAAAATTTTTATTTTTCCATCCATTCCAGCATTTTCCTAATAATATATCATCTTTATACTTGACTGTTCAGCCTCTGAATTATTCATAAATACGAGTAATGAAAGCCATTGATCATCAGCTCTTTGAAAGTGTAGAAGCTATTTCTCAGGTTTTTTTGACCGTGTTCTTCGGGTGTTCGTGCCTGACGTTTCGGCTAGTGGGCTTGGTTTATTTTAATTGGATTACTCGACCTTGTTTATGTACATCTAAGAACAGGTAGCCAGACTTAATTGATGTTCATTGCCTATTCTTTTCTATCGAAATTATCGCTGTTTTTGAATTTCTGTTGCCTTGTTATGTGATAATAAAATTGATAATGATAACATTGGAGGCCTTGGCTTTTCAAAGCGCTTGACTTTCGCTTTCCTCAGGTCGAGTGGGCTGAAGTCGGAAACTGAGGGGTTCATCATGACTTGCCAGGATGGTGTCTTCAACACCTCAGTCTACCGCAGTCGCGTGATGAGTATAGAGGTTCCTGACACAAGATGCAGAGCCTGCCGCGAGGCGCCCGAGACCCTAATGAATTTGCTATCAGCATGTCCAGCATATGCAGCCTCGGCCTATATCCATCGACATAACGCGGCCCTAAGAGTACTATATTACCATCTACGGCACTATTACGGCATTGACGAGACAACGGTGTTGCTCTACGCTCCAGGGCGTAGGGCCCTGGAGCGTAAGGTTTTCAGCTCCTGGCGAGACGAATATCGTCCGAAAAGAGAAGGAAAAACGGATGAAATATCAAAATTTCCTTTTCGAACTCCACAGACTGTATCCAGCCCCTCTGACAAGATGGTTGTTCTGATTATTGGAGTCCTACGTGGAATGTTGCCCTGTCTACTCTCGAATCTTAAAATTATACCGAACAGATGCAGAAGGCTGTCGTTCTTGGCTCGCTTCGCTTGCTCAGGGCACATGATTCTCGGAACCAAATGATCATTTACCCCACAGTGTGGGGAGTGGTCGTTGATTGATTATGCTGGCGCGTCCTCCCGAATGTATCGGGGCTTCGGGGGATAGGGCTTGACCAGCGCAGCGCAGACTACGGTTAACAATCGACTTTATTTAGTATTTGATATTACATCATAGGCGAAGCTTAGCTATAGCTACTCTTACACTTAACCTAATATGCTTAATGAGAATAGAGAGTAACTGGACAGAAAAAAACTGTAGAATATGTGATGGAACAACTTCTTAGAAGTATAAAAAAAAAACATAGTCAAACAAAATAATCCCTCTGATCACATATTGAATTTTGCCTTTAGTTTTTTTTTGAATGTGAATTTCGGGAATTGCATGAGATCTTCAATAATCATATTGTGAAAAAATACACCTGGGAACGGATATGATTTTCTGAACATGGCTGACGAATGACGAATGACTCTTGCTTACTAATTCTGAATTTCATCCAGTATTACGAAATGATGTGAGTGCCTTCTTTGTTGGAAGCATGTTCAACTACAACTGATTTGTCGGTTGTGTTCAAAGGTTGTTGCTTAAGGTTCTCTGCGGTCCGTAGCTGACCTTAGACTTCGTCTGGTAATTTTTGTTGGCCCAAATATGGCCAAAATATATGAAACCTCACATTTTTAAAGCAACTCTTTGATAATCTATTCGATCTAGGTGGAGGATGCAGACATGAGCATTGATTTAGCTCTGTTGAAGCTCGAGGCTCTGGAGAAGCTACCCAGTTTGCAGCTAGAGACCCCTGGAGATACGGCCATCGGCGAATGGGTTGTTGCTTTGGGAAGTCCGTTGTCTTTGAGCAACTCAGTAACTGTTGGAATTGTGAGTATCTATTGTTTTGTCATTGTTTTCAACGTTTCAGGGGAAAAAAGTCGATAGATGTTGCTAATGACATATGTCTACTATCATTTTGAGATGAGAACAACTTATTGAAAACAGTTTGTGATTTGTGATGTTGAGTAATAAACTAAACTGAAGCTACTGTTATTCATATCAATTGCCTACTGCAGTTCCCCTGATGAAACCTCAAATTAATGCAGATCAAATTCATGAGCTGGTAAATCTAATAAAATGGTTTCAGTTCAGTTCAAAGGTGATTTCACCACATGTTAAATAATGTAAAGGAGTTTTGTTTAATTGGGGAATTTCAGAAATTTTATTTGTACTCTATCAATTGCAGATGTATATTGATTGTATATGGGCTTGTGATGTACTGTTTGCAACCTTTAGTGTTGTAATGGATATTACTATAGGTCTAGTAATGAATATTACTGAAGGTCTTTTTCTAGAAGATGATCACATCTTCAAAAGGAAGTTTAATCTTTGAAAATTACAATTTGGTGTTGGGATAGGAATCCAGTAATATTCAATGTATTTGGAGTTCCTTATTATGGATTCAGACGGCTCGAAAACCGAAGAAGGCTCAGGATGTGGAGTGTACTCCAGATCTCTAAGCCTAAGGATTAAGTGGAAAATGGGAAAAATACCAGCGTGGTCCAAACAGAACTAGCTAGTATCTCGATTGACACAAAAGAATTAACCAGGAAAGGAATTTCTGCCAAAAACATAACAATCTGCACCGACAGCAGACAAGCCCTATTAGCCTCGTGTTACCTCAGGGCTAATAATAGAGTGCCACTAAGATTTAGCCAAAGCCTCGGTAGATAATAACATCATCCTGAGGTGGGTTAAAGGGCACGGCAGGAATGAAGGTAATCGTATTGCCGACTCTTCAGACTAGGAAGCGGCTGGACTAAAAATTTGTAATTTGTAACATAATTCAATTGTATCTATATCTATTGTTCACAAAAAACTTTCTTGGAAATTGAATAATTATGTTTTGTTTATTGCTATTTGGTCGAAAAAAATCGTGTTAAAAATATTTTTCACTTCATCATCTTGTAATGAAACCATCTGCATCTCTATCTGTAGAGTAGGGAGGGTGGGTATGAGCCCACAGCACTTAAGCCACATGTGACCCATTGTACATCCTCCTGAGGAAAAATCCTCCTAGGTTATCGTCCATCCTGTCATTTCCAGGAAGGTGGACAGGTTACTGGGGGATATCTCCTTTATATCGGCAGGTGTAGGCCAAGACTCGCCAAACACACACTCTCTTATTGACGACAACTCCGGACACTCAGGCATAGGACATGCCTGACAGTATCATCTTCCTGTTCACACATCCTGCATAGAGGTGTGTCTACTAGCCCCATATTATGGAGATGTTCCTTAGTTGACAGTTGCCAGTCAGAAATCCTACTGTTGAGCGTAGATTTTTTCTGGTCATCGCCGGATATTTCTTTGGCGCCAGCTTCCCAGGGTCGCCCAAGGTGATCCTGGCAAGATTGCATCTCTCTAAGGATTGAGCATGGGTGTAACATTTGACTAGTTCCGCGATTGTCAAAGTCATCAGACCGTAGGTGCCACTGGGTCCCAAAATTCTTAGTCCAGCCGCTTCTTTGGCTAAAGAGTCGGCAATGTGATTACCTTCACTCCTGTCATGCGCTTCAACCCACCTCAGGATGATGTTATTATCTACCGAGGCTTTGGCTGAATCTTGGTTAAACTGTAGTACTAGCCCCGAAGTTATACGTTGTCTGTTCAAGGCTAATAGGGCTTATCTGCTGTCAGTGCAGATTGTTATGTTTTTGCCAGAGATTCTTTTCCTGGTTATTTCTTATGTGGCAATTGAGATACCAGCCAGTTCTGTTTGGACCACGCTGGTATTTCTTCCCATTCCCCACTCAATCCTTAGGCTTAGTGATCTGGAGTACACTCCACATCCTGAGCCTTCTTTGGTTTTTGAGCTGTCTGTATAAATCCGTATTGCATTTGTAGCATCTGAATCTGTGTTGTTCTCATGGCTCCTGTGATGTTTAAACAAGCCAGTCGCTGTATTTGATATAATTTTAGGATGGCCGTTGCTTGTAGAACTTTTGATCCCCATGCAATGGCTCCATTGCAGTGTAGATCCAGGTGACCACACGGGGTGAAAGACCATATGCGCGTTCCACTGTCCTCCTACATTGTTCATAAGCCACATATGCTCTTTTTGCTCTACTCTGTAGATGAGAGTTCCATGTTAGCTTCCTGTCGAGGATATTACCAAGGTATTTCACCTTTTCTGAGGAGTTTAGTTTGCTTTTGGAGATTTCGTGAGGTTTTAAGCCCGATAAACTTCTTTTCCTGGTGAAAAGGACCATCTCAGTCTTCTTGGCATTGATCGACAGTGTGTGTTCCTTGCACCATGCTTCAATTAATTTGAGCTCACCCTGCACTCTATCGCTCAGCGTGTTCACAAATTTGCCGGTCTGCAAGATAACTATGTCGTCTGCATACGCGATTGTGTAGAATCCATTTTTGTTAAGATGATTAATCAGGGTATCCATTAAAAATGTCACTTTCAATTACAGTTGTTCAAAAATCATTATTATTGATCACCACTCAAGTCACTCGAAAAATTCTTCTTCCAATCATCAAATTCGACAGTTCAAGAAAAAACCCTCATTCGTCTTTCCCTTCTCTTTTCCAGGTGAGCTGCGTAGATCGTCCAGCCGAAGAGCTAGGACTGAAGAATTATTCAATGACATACATCCAAACGGACGCTTCAATAACTTTCGGAAATTCGGGAGGACCCCTCGTCAACTTGGACGGGAATGTCATCGGCATCAATAATCTCCGATTGACAAAATCATTTTATATAATATGAGACAATGAAAGTCCAAACTGATGAAGTGCGTTAATCAACACTATCATTGACAAATGCCTGATTCATTCCGGTTAATTTTGAAAAATACATACTCTTCCATCATATAATATTTTCCACCTCATATCCTATTTTTTAAAACACCCAAAAAACCCTTGAAACAAATGAATGGACGTTTGAAATTTAATATTTTTTTACAGTACATGGAGAGGGATTTTCCTTGGTCTAAAAATTTCGATTTTTCCAATCTGGACACATAACTGAGTAAATACAGAAGGAAAACTTTACAAAAAATTGTATATAATTGATGATTCTTTGTAACTGCATTGATTTGAATTGCCACGCTAACTTTTGCGAAAAGAAACCTCGATTTGATGTTTCAAATTCCATTTCTGCTATAATTTGCACAAACTTCAAACTCATTTTCCAGGTGTGGAATGGAGAACTTTTTTTTTTTGATTGATTTGGCCGTTACTTGATTTCACAAACTACACCTAAACGATTTGATCTCCACAAACTTTATTGAAAAAATATATCATATCATATATATCAAAAGAGTTGACATTTAATTTTGGAACAGGCACACTTGCAGACCGGTTTCGGGCTCATCAGCCACTCGTCAGTGCAAGATAGTGACCATCATCGACTTAAAGTCAATGATATTCCATAATTGAAAATCGGAATTCTGTCAGAGTATTTCATTTCTCTTCCGAAGTTGGAGCGAGCGAGCAAAGTGAAGTAAAAGTAAAGTAAACTTTATTGACTACACTGTGAATATCTTACACTACAAGGTTGGTCGTATCGCGTACCTTCAATTATTCTCAATGTCCTTTTTTGCAACTTGAATACTCTTGTTGCCTGACTAGAATTCCCCCATAAAATGGTACCATAGCTTATATGTGAATGGAAGAGGGAGTGGTATGTAGTCAATAGCACATCTTTGTTCACAATATTCTTCAGTTTACGCAGCAAAAATAGTTGGCGCTATACAGTTTATTGTACATACGGTTTATGTGAATCCACTGCCATATGTGCACATATGGATCTATTCGAAATGTTTTTAATAGAGGAGAATATGATCTGAGTCTTATCACTGTTCATTTTGAGCTTATTTGTCGTAAACCACAGTTCTGATTCAAAGGCAGTAGTCAACATAAGTTCATTGAGCAAAAGTCAACTATAATGCGAATTTATCAATGAAGTGTCGTCAGCAAATGCAATACACATATCCGGAAACGAGTAATGAAATATATCATTGACATAAATGATGAACATCAATGGCCCAAGTACAGATCCCTGTGGCACGCCATGATCAGTACGAGCCCGTAGCGAAGTAGTTCCGTTGACAATTACAAAAAGTGGTTGCAAGAAATGTTAATTCTCAATCTCCCAGAAAGAAGCGTTGTGGTTATAGACAATGCCCCATACCACAATGTTCAGTATGGAAGGTGCCCAAACATGTCCACAAGGGAAGATGAGATAAGATAATGGTTAAGACGACGAAACATTCATTTCACGGATGATATGCTGGAAATTGATCTCTATTACATTATTAAAATCTATAAACCACGATTCAAATTGTATTGAATTGATAGGATTATGGAAAATCATAGACATACTGGACTCAGATTGCCTCCTCATCATCCAGATTTGAATCCAATAGAATTAGTATAGGCATCACTGAAACAATATGTGGCTAATAAAATGTGAACTTCAGTTTCAAATCCGTTTGAAGTTTATGTGACGAATTCCTCACTTCGTTTTCTCAATAACAGTGGAAAAAACGTTGCAAACACGCTAAACGTTCAGAAGAATTTTATGCTTGGAAAAAACTTGCTCTTCATTCCGCAATAGGCAAAATTATTATAAATGTTCAAGGTGATAATGACAACGATAGTACCAGTGAGGATAGTGATAACACTACAAGCGATTCCGATCCGTCTGTAACTTTATAACTTTTTGATCATAACTTCAATTATATTTTTGTTTGGATTCATTCATCTAAATGAATGTTTCCTAAGAAATTTTCATTTTGAAATTTAATCTTCAACCCAAATGAATTACATTTTCAAAATGAGTTTTCCTACCTTTCGTTAATAAACCCAAAATTTAATGCTATACAGACTGATGAATGATAAACTCATTTAAATTCAATTACGTTAGTACCGCATTATCATACTAAACTAATAATTGATCATCAATTGAAAAACCATGCACTGTTATTGCTACTTGCGGCGGAGACTGTACTCTCAGGCCACTCTAAAACCCAAATAGGCGCACAAGTCGCATGATACATTTCATCGTTTTCTCTCCTAATGCGTTCTCTGTCAGTAGTGTTCGCAGGTGGTGATATGTTATATGTTGCTTCATAGATTTGACAAGCCCTAATGTTATTCACATTGGTGCTGAAGAGGCAATAAGACAAGTGTCTTACTCTGAAACGTCGGATGTCCGTCATTAAAGATGACAATTTGACAAGTGTAATTTTACCTCTTTCATATACTTTATTGTATAACAATCTTGTGAATATCTTATTCGATTGTTGGGGACCAAATCTGGAGAAGAGGGTGGATGCAGGAGCAATTCGAAGCTCAATTCATGCAAATTTGTTATCGTTTCCATTGATTTGTGACAAAATTTATTGTTGTTTTGGTCAATTATGAGCTCGCTTGGGAGCCACCCAAATATTCATGCACGATATGTCCAAACTTCACTTTTCAACAGTTGATTTTCTTGGTGCAAAGTCAAAATAATGTTTATCAAGTCAAGCCCTGGCTTTAACAGTATTATTTTCACCAAAACGCAATGCTTCACCAACACACTAAATTCCTTTCCATCAGATTTTATAAACTAACGGAAGTTGCTTCACTCAAATTGTTCTATTCCACAAACTAATAGCCCGGTAGCTGTAAAATTTGAACATTTTGAACGTTAAGGTTAACTGAAAATCATATGAATTCGATACTAGTAACGCTATATCTATGTATTAGCTACGAACTAAATTGTATAATACAATGGAATAAAGAATCTACAGGTCCGGACGAAATTCCGATTTCAGTAATTAAAGACACCAGCGAAATAATGGCACCAGCTTTCTAGCATATCGTAAATCTGTCCGTATTGCAGGGTAAATTTCCCTCTAGCCTCAAATTAGCCTCTATAATTCTTATTTTTAAAAAAGGTGATCCAAGTAATATTGAGAATTATAGACCAATACAAATTAATTTCATAAAACATTTTTGAATATTAATGACCCCACTATTATGGTCTATAACAATTCATTTTATGATTTTCGTTATATGTTCATTTCTTCAATCTCACATAATAAATACTAGAAAAACATACCTTTTTTTTCGTCAGTTGGATACAAAAAAAAATTAATACCGACAGCACCCTGTAAATTACAGCAACACACAGGTCGACACTTATTCATTTTGAAACTAGACAACAATTTTTCACGAATACAAAACCACCACTAACAACGACTCACTCTGTAATGATATTCCATGCCTCAATTTGGCTCGCTTGGTAAACGCCTCAGATTCAGTTGGTTGCGTGCATAAAATTTGAGGTGGTGAACTTACTTGTGTTCACTTCTATATGTTGGTAGAACTAACTACTCACCCTAACAAACCGGATAACATCCTTGAATTGTATAATGCAATGGAATGAAAAGTTTGACATAAAGTTGAGTTTGACTTCTTTGTAGGGCGTGTGAACAAAAGCTGGTTTTCAAAAACGTTCACTATTACTTCATTTTCAATTTTCATTGGGATCCCTGATACAAACGCGTTTGTTACTTGTGATGAATAAAGGAAGAGTTCCAATGAAAGTCTAAACTCCGTGTAGCATAATTTATAATTCTCCACGGGATTTCAGTAACGCTTCGTCGGTAAATTCAACGGAGGTTTACCCTCCTGAATTGCCACTAAAAACAAATAACTATTTAAAAGTTTTAAGTGATGTAGGTTGTACTTTCCATTCCTGATCTCCATCATCCGCTACGAAATTATTTTCTTGAAATTATATAACACACAGAATTCCATCATATCAACGTTCAAACATTATTTCCCTTCGAAAAAGTTTTCGAAAAGGAACATCACTCCAGTAACTTCGAAACTTTCGTTTGTTTCAAGAATACGCCAAAAAGTTCCTGGAAAACAGCAAATACCGAGTGAAGAGTGGCAGGTCGATTGGACCAATGGGCAAAACTTTGTTTGGGATAACGACGATTTCCATTACACCTGAGGTTTTGAGCGATCTGCTCAGAGAGAACAGCAAGATTCCGAATGACGTGATTCATGGACTATTAGTCTGGAAGATTATTCCAGGATCACCTGCATCGCAGTAAGTACAGTCAAGTATGCCAGGTATGTTCAAAAACTGAGGCGAATGTTCAAATTTCGCGGGATACGTAGATCCGATTAATACTTACAAAATTGACTGACAAACATTGAATCAATAGAAAACCATGAAATAAACATTATACATTGTAAATTATGGGTGCATACATAGCCAACAATAAAGTTCATGATAAATTGAAATGAAGTATGAGCTAGAAATGAAGTAATTAATATGTCTGGTCGCATGAATATGCTTACTGCTTATCAAGTAAATGATGCTTCAATTTATATTTGAACTTATTTATATTATATAATTTGAATTCATCAGGCAGAGTATTATACATTTGGATGGCATCGAAGAAAAACACCTTTGGAAAAATGCAGTTTTGTGCTGAGGCATGGTCAGGGTAGATTAGTATTTGATATTTTGCGAATGTATTTTGAATCGAGGAATGAATTTATTGATCAATGCTGGAGGGTTAGGATCATTCAAAAGTTTGTGAGTGATGGTACCCATGTGGAGCTGTGTTCTATTGTACATATTGAGCCAGTTGCATTCAACAATTTTGTGTGAAATCTGTTCATATTTTCTGATACCATAAATCAGTCTTGCGCAGCTATTTTGCAGTTTTTGTATTCTAACCTTATCGACTTTTGTTA